TGGGCTGGGAGATTGCACAGAACTGAGAGAAACTTTGAAGCCCCAGAAGCAAAAACTTTATTGGCTTAGAGCCCAAACTACCACAGCAGCTGCTCTTTGGGAGAAAGGTGGGCACTCTCCTCCCATACCATTTAGAACCTTTGAACACCTGCTAGAGGACTGACTATCAGTCTGTTGTAATTCGATGGCAATGAGCTTGGGGTTTTTTAATCCTCAAAGGGACTCTGAGTTTCCAGGTATTTCTGCTCAGCTGGTACTAGTCTTGAGTCCCTGATCTTGGCCTGAACTTGGTTTTGGACCCTAGCCACTGAACCACAGCCTATTGGTGCTGAGCAGTAAGATACCCTGTTTACCAGAACTGAAGTAAGCCCCTGGAAATAGCCCCCACGCAGAGGCCAAAGTGGAAGCCAGGAGCCCAGGCCTCCCCAGGCCTTCGTGATCTTTGCAAATTGTAGAAAATATTTGAAAGCTGGACGGAGGAACCTACAACTACAAAGTGGTTGCCTTGCCTTGTCCCACCCTAAATAAGAGACTGTTTTCTGCTTAGTTTGTTAATTTATAGATATTTTTATACAGATGCCAACATCATAAATCTCATATAACAATATATCAGTAAATAATTTTTTGTTGTTAAGTGCCATTGAGTATGACTAAGAAGCAACCATATGCCAGTGCCATGCTCATCGTGTCTGACGTACTTGAAGCCATTGCTGCATCAAGTCCATCTCATTGAGGATCTTCCTCTCTTTCACTGACCCTTCACCTTTCCCAAGATGATGTCTTTTTCCAAAGAATAAACCCGCCGAACAACGAGTCCAAAGTATGTGAGATGAAGCGTCACCAACTTTGCCTCTTAGGAGCACTGTGGTTGTATTTTCTCCAAGACCTATCTGTCTTCTGGCAGCCCATGGCATATTCAGTACTCTTCTCCAGCATCACAAGTCAAATTCTCCTTCTGTGACCTTTATTCATTGTCCAGCTTTCAGGTGCATAGCAGGTGAATGGAAAGACCATTGCTTGAATTAGGCGCACCTTAGTCTTTACATTTTTAAGAGGGACAGCATGATTCAACAAACAGAGGATCAGTCAGAAATTTTAACTTTGCAAATGTTATGTCCTGTATGTTTGTTAAAACACCAAACAAGGCAAATATGTTTTCTATTTTGTTTTATTAATTCAACAAAGCAGTTGCTCCATTTATTGAAAACTTACTCTGCCAGGCCAGTGATGGGCACTGGGCAGAGAACAAAGCAGCACGGATGCGACACACCTGGGCCTCACAATCCATTTTCCAGGGGGGACCGGTGACTGTCCCCTCCCCTGTGCCTCACCTGCAGGGAGTGATGTTAAGGAATCACAGGACCCCGTTTTAAACACCAGCTCTGACACAAACTAGCTGTGTGACCTCAAGCAAATAACTTCTCTGCAGTTCAGATTTTCTTTATTTCTCTTTTTAAAAAAATATTTGAGGGGAGCTCTGGTGGCCTAGTGGCAAGAAACTGCACTGCAATCCCAGAGGAACACGGTTCGAATCCACCAGATGCTCTGCCGGAGAAGGAGGCGCAATCTCCTCCTGTACCAGTCAGATCTGATTTGACGGTACACGCACACACACACATACACACACACAAATATTTGAACAATGAATGAATGGAAGTACAAAGTCTGTAAATTTTCATTAAAATTAATAATAATAACAAATGCAATAAAATATGTGTCTTCTTTTAGGTGAAAATACACATAGCCAATCGTACCTCATTAACCGTTTCTACCTGGTGTTGGTTAGATCCCTCAAGTGTGTTGCCATTCTCTTTTTCCAATATCTTGTTGTGTAGTATTGTGTTCCTTCCTATCTCTTCTTTTTCTGTGTTCTGAAACAGATTGGACAGATTGGTGTCAACTCTTCTGTGAACCTTTAGTTGAATTCTCCGGTAAGGCTCTCTGGGCCAGGGTACATCTTTGTTGTTGTTGGGATGTTTGTTTTGTTTTGTGATTGACAGTTTGAGCTGTGGTGTTGGAGAAGAGCGCTGAACATCCCAGGGATGGCCAAGGGAATGAACAGATATGTCTTGGAGAGAGTACAGCTGGAAAGCTCCTTGGAAGCAAGAAGAAGGGAGCTCTTTTGGCCTAGTGGCAAGAAGCTGTGCTGCAATCCCAAAGGCGCTCAGTTTGAATCCACCAGATGCTCCACTGGAGGAGGAGGGGCAATCGTCTCCTGTGCTAGTTGGATCCAACACAACAAGGGGTGGCGGGAAGAATGATGAGGCCTCACATACTTTGGACATGTTGCTAGGAGGGGCTATTCCTTGGAGAAGGAAATGATGTTGGGAAGGGTGAAGGGTCGGCGATGGAGAGGAAGACCCTCAACCAGGTAGACTGACACCGTGACTGCTGCAATGGGCTGTTGTGTGTCAGGAAATGTGAGGATGGCGCAGGATAGAACAGGGTTCAGATCTTTTGTTCATAGGGTCACTATGAGTCGTACTCGACTCGACAGCACCTAACAACATCTCTATTTATGTTAGTGTAGGTAGCAGTTTCTAGAAATATGCCCGTTTTTCTAGGTTTTTAAATCTGTTGGAATAATTTGTCATAGTTTTTTTGTTACCGTCTTTATCTCAGTTACTTCTGTTGTACAATCATCCCATTTCTTATTTTAACTGTTCGCATCTTCTCACTTACCTCTTTTGTTAATTTGGTGGATGGTTTGCCAGTTTTGATCCTCTCAAAGAACCAAGTCATGGTTTCTGTTGGTTTTCTGTTTTCTATCATGTTATCACTTTTGTAATCTCTACTCAGATTGTCTCACCACCTTTGATTTAGATTTACAACCCCATAAACTCTTCATCAGTACTTTAGAGGTATTGTTATCAATTTGATCTGATCTAGAAAATTCGCTAAAAGCTCAGTCTCAAGGCACATTCTTACATTATATAGCTAAATGCTTGTCACAGCTGTTGTTATCTTGAAGACAGGAAGTAGTTTTGATATGTTGTTGTTAAGTGACATCAAGTTAACTGCAACTCGTTGCAACCCTGTGAACAGCAGATCTGAACCTTGCCCTGTCCTGTGCCATCCTCACGATACGTTTGAAAATTTTCTCAGGGCAACGGATTCACAGATTTGCGCGTCCTCGGTGAGTTAAGTCTGAATTCTGTACGAAATTTTAATTTTTTTAAAATTTATTGTTATTTTGTGTGTACCATTAAATCAGATCTGACTGGTACAGGAGGAGATTGTCCCTCCTTCTGCAGCAGAGAATCTGGTGAATTCAAACATGTCACCAATGGGATTGCAGTGCAGCTTCTTGCCACTAGGCCACCAGACCTCGCCGAAATTTTAATTTCTTCTCCACATTTCTCCCCCTTTCATTCAAGATTCAACAATTGGGTCCTTGATCAAAATGTTCCATAAAGGTCGCTGGATACCACCCAGTTCTAGTTTCGTGGCAAAGGAGACAATTGTTTATGGAGGCAGCCAGACCTGCAACTCAGTTCTTTCTCTGACTCCTGGGTCTCCTTTCTCTCTGCTCCAAGAAAACAAAGACCAGTTGTTGCATTTTAGATGGTTACTTGCAAGCTTTTAAAACCCCTGCCACTACTCATCACACTACAGTGGGGGAATGTGTAGAACAGAAACTAAAAATAATGCTAGGCCAATTGGACAGGCTCACAGAATGATAACCTTAAGACTTCAAACCAAGAAAACAAGGACCATGACATGTTTCCTTCCATCTAAGTAGTTTCTGTAACTTCATCCTCTTTTGTTGTTGTCCTTTTTCAAATTATAATTAACAAAACATTTACCATGTAGCCCTTTTTCTGGTATAAGACTTGATGGTATCAGTTACATTAGTCAATTTGTATAACCATTATCCTGAATGGATAACAATTTTTCCATCAATAAGAAGGAGCCTTGATGGTTTACTGAGCAACAGTAACATAGGCAGAAATTCACCATGAACTTCCTAGGAAATGATTCCTTTCTCCCTCCCCATTCCCACCCCAGCTAACCAGGATTAACCATTGAACTGTATGTATTTACTGATTCTTGTTATCTCTTACGAGTAATGTTGTTATGAATCATTGAGTTGGAACCAACCCATAGCTGGCCCTCCAGTAGGTTTAACAGACTATAAATCATATGGGAGGAGACTGACCATCTTACTGCCACGGAGCAGCTGGTGAATTCAAACTATGTGCCTTTGGGGTTGGCAGCACAGCTCCTTACCACTAAGCCACCAGGATGAGGCCCCAAGATATCTGCGCTTTTGTGATGGACCTTATTTCATAAATTTGTCATTTTAAAAAAAGTTTTATATTTGTTTGCTTACAAATTTCATGTAAATGTTTTTCACACTAGTCTTCATTCATGTTGTGCTTCATACAATCATCTCCATGTGTTGCGTTTTATAAAAATATCACCATTGGACCATGCCCATCATTACCCTGTCTTTTCAGGTCCCCACCAGATCCTTCCCATTTCCTTCACGCCCTTCCTCCACCCACCAAATTGTGCAACTCTGTGGTTTCACCGCTACTCATCCTCACCCTTCTGCTTCTACCCATTCCTCCCTTGGGTCCCCATACATGTTTTACTAGTTATCCTTCTATTTTTACAATAATGGTCTTAAGCAGTATTTGTCCTTATGAGTCTGAGTTAGTTCACTCAGCATAATCCTCTCTAGTCCCTCCCAATTTATGTAGTAATTTTCAAAATCATTGCTCCTGAGTACTGCATGGCATTCCATTGTATGAATGTACAAATTCTTCATTTCTTAAAAAGAACCAACAAAGGCCTTGGAGCAGGGTAAGCCTGAGGGGAGGGTGTGGAGAATGGAGGGAAGCCGGCCTGGTATGGAGCATGGCACCCAGGGGGTACACGCTGACTTGGGGTGAGAAAATGGGTGTATGTGAATATGAGAACGAGCGGTCCCATTTTTGACCTGTCCAGCCTCGGCTTCCCTGCACCCCGGTGCACCCCAATCTATAGCAAGAACCCATAACCATGTCTAAACCCCTACTGAGTGCTAGGCTCTCCAAGGGCACTGGATTCTGTGTTAAGACACCTTTTGTAGAACTGAGGCTCAGCTAGCGTGGACAGTAGTGGCCTTGCTGAGAGACCTCCTACCCTCAGCTCTCCACCCAGTTGGCTGTCCTCTCCACACTGTTCACTAGAGGGCGCCAGGGTCACAGCAGAACCATCCAGGTGCCCCTCCCCGCAAGCACCGCAGTGCTGAGGACAGGGAATGGTGTGACTCCTGGACTCTGTCCTGCAGGGAAAAGAAAGCCGACCACTGGCCTGGGAGGAGGGGGTGGGAGAACGAGGTGTGGAGACCCGAGGGGCCTCTGGTTCGATCCTCACTTTGCCTGGGATTTCCAGCTGTCCAGCAGCTTAGCCCGGGATATTCTACCTCCCTCAGCTCCCATCCACACACCTCTTCCTCTTCTCATCCTGGGTTTGGACCTCTCTGTCCTTCTGTCTCCTCTCTCTCACAGAGAGACTTCTAACTTCCTCTGTGCACTATTTCTCCTCTCTCTCTTGATTCTGTGTCTCCAGCTGCCCATAAACATCTCTCACTTGTCCCTCTCCTTATGTCTCGACCTCTCTATGTCTCTTTCCCTCTCCCTTCTGTCTGTCTCTCCCCCATCTCTGTCTGTCTCTTTTGGCTCCTCTCATGGTCTTGTTGTCTCACATCCTGTCCCTCCCCAGCCACCACCACCCAGTACATGTGGGCTGAGGGTCTCCATCCCCACCCCTCCCTGCACACCCCTGGCAGCTGTTCGCAGCTTCCCAGCCCCGGCCTCGCGGGCCCTCCCCTCTTGGGCCTCGAGGGAGTGGGCCCCTGGGAGGAAGGGAGGGCAGCCGGCAGGCCCACCCCTTTTTGCCTTTCCAGGCTGGGAGGCCGGGCCAGTAGGTCTTTTAACCAGGCTGGGCAGGCTGTGGAGGCCGCCAGCCCTGGACGCAGCGCCTGGCCCCGTGGTCCCAGCCCAGCCAGCATGCAGCAGCAGCCCCCGGCCGGGCCCCCAGCCCTCTCGGCGGAACCCACCAAGCCCCCCTACAGCTACATCGCCCTGATCGCCATGGCCATCCAGAGCTCGCCTGGCCAGCGGGCCACCCTCAGTGCCATCTACCGCTACATCATGGGCCACTTCGCCTTCTACCGCCACAACCGGCCTGGCTGGCAGAACAGCATCCGGCACAACCTGTCACTCAATGAGTGCTTTGTCAAGGTGCCCCGCGACGACAGGAAGCCAGGCAAGGGCAGCTACTGGACGCTGGACCCCGACTGCCACGACATGTTCGAGCATGGCAGCTTCCTGCGCAGACGCCGGCGCTTCACCCGACGGGCAGATGCCGAGGGGGCCAAGGTCCCTGCCAGGGCGCGCCGGGGACCCCTCCGGGTCACCAGCCGGGACCCAGGAGCCCCTGATGCCACCGCTTGCCAGCAGTGCCCTTTCCCGTCCGAGCAGCCAGAGCCCAAGGGGCTAAGTTTTGGGGGTCTGATGGGGGCCTTGCCAGCCAGTGTGTGCCCAGCAACCACTGATGCCAGGCCTCGGCTGCCCACGGAGCCCGAAGAGATGCCCACACCCAAGCAGGCAGGCCCGGGGGAGCTCACTGTGGCCACGTCGCCCTCCCCATGCCCAGTGTTTGGCTTCTCTGAGCCTGAGGGTTTGGGCAAAGTGCCTCCACCCATCTTGACCACTGAAACAGGCATTGGGAGCAGTTACCAGTGCCGGCTACAGGCCCTGAATTTCTGTGTGGGAGCAGACCCCAGCCTTGAGCACCTCTTGGCCGCGACAGTCCCCTCCCCTGCTTCCCCTTCCCCTCCAGCCTCACTCCGTGCCCCGCTGCCCCTGCCAGCTGACCCCAAGGAACCCTGGGTTGCAGGCAGCTTCCCTGTCCAGGGAGGCCCAGGTTACCCACTGGGGCTGACTCCCTGCCTATACCGGACGCCAGGAATGTTCTTCTTTGAGTGAAGGCTGCCTGGCTTCAGATGGTCCCCACGGGGGCTGTGCCTGACCCTGGGACAAGGAGCACCCACAAAGAGCTCAGCCCAGCAAGCCAAAAACAGCCATGCCTGGAAGCCAGGATCCAGCTGAGTCCTCAGGGCCTCAGGACAAACTTGGGGGTGAGGGGATGCAGGTGGGCCCCTTGGGGTTGACGCTGTGGCTCTCAGGGCCAATAAAGCCAGAGTGATGATGACAAGCGTCTGTCTGCTGGATGGCTGGGAGCTGGGGACTGGGGTGCCGGCTTGTCTGGGGTGATGATGGTTATAGAATAGGCTGGGGCGCGAGGCAGAGCACCAGAGCTTGAAACCTCCTGCCCAAAGCCTGCTCCTGCTGGGAATTTTCTCAGGGAGTTTCCCAGGAAAGGAACGAAGAGAAAGTGGGGGTGGGAGATGGGGCAACCAAGAGAGGCCTGGCAGGCAGAGGCAGGCTGGCCTTTGGGCTGATTCTACCACCCCAAACACTGTGGCGTGACTGACTTGGCACCACTATTATGAGCACCCCTGAGAACAGTGGCCATTCGTGGGATTTAGTCACTTCTGGGCATATTCTATCGGGGACTTGTTAACTTATATTACATGCGTGGAAACAGGTTCGGTGAATTTGGAGCTCATTGGTTCCAGATTCACAGAGAAAGTGAGTGACAGTCGAGAGGAACCCAGGTCCAGTCTGTGTGACTCTGACACCACGCAGGCTGCCTCCTTCCTTCTGCACCCCCCCCCCACCTGCAGACTGAGCGAAGACATCACCAGGGGGCCAGGCTCGGCCCAGAGCTGCTGGCGACACCAGGGAGAGAGGGCTTTCGTGAAACCCTACAATACTGGAGCTCAGGAGGCAGCCCCTGCCTGTTACACGGGAGCCCCGGTGGCACAGCGATTAGGTGCTGTTGCCTGCTAACTAGAAGGCTGGTGGTTTGAACCCACCCAACAGCCCTGCAGGAAAAAGACCTGTTGACCGGCATCCACAGAGATTACAGCCTGTGTGACAGGCCTGCTCTACCGCGTGAGGTTGCTGCAAGTCGGGATTAATGCGATAGCACATAGCAACAGCAACCCATTTTCCAGACAGGGAACCCAAAGTTCAAAAGGGCTTCTTCTCCTTTACCTGTCTGGGGTCTCCCCTGAAATCCCAGCTCTCTGAGGGTGCCTGTTGATCCTAAGAAGGCACTTCTCTCATGGGCTGTTCTGGATAAAGCTTGGAATATTTAACTTTCTCTAGCTACCCCTCAGGTAGAAGCAGGAGAAATGGGGGTGTTCATGGTCCCCATCAGAGGAACAGACACAGAACCCTGAAATCTTACTCTCCCATACCTCCCAGTACCAGGAGAAGCTGAAGCAAATTATTCCCTTTCTCTGAGCCTCACAGTCTTCCCATCTGTATCATGGGTATAGGAAGAGAAGAGGGCCTAGGGTGCTGGTTTCTGATGTAAATACTGAGGAGCTGAAGAATCTTCTGTCCCTTGAGGTGAAAAGAAAACTCCAGGCACCCGGTGGCTGGGACCCTGTCCTTGGGCAACCTGGTCCTCTCAAGAGGCCCTCCTCCCTCGGCAGGCAGCCATGGACTCAGCCTCTGCTGCTCTCCGCCCTCGCTGGTCCCCTGGGGCCCCGGGAGGAAGCAAGCCTGCTGCACAGCCCGAACCGTCTGGTTCCCACAGACTCCAGGGCCAGGGTGGAGGGGGACCTGCGGGTGGGGCTCACTGCAGCCAAAAAGGGCTGAGAAAAGGTCTAGTCAAAGGGTCAGAGTCTTTCCCCTCCCCTGGCTTGTCAGATCATATCCTGGGACCCACCAAGCATGGTGGAAAAGTGAGGGAGGGTCTGTCCTGTCTTGCCTAGACAGCTTACCTGTCTTGACCTGGAGGGTCAGGGAAGTATGGTAATGTGAGGCAACGGGCCCTCATGCATGGGTTTGTCCTGGAGTGTAAACGCATACGGGTCAGTGTGCTTCAAGGAGGGGGAGGGTGAGAATAATTATGGAGACAGGCAGACAGATAGACAAAGACAAGCAGACTCAGGGAGCAAGGTCCTTTTTTGGCTATGTCAGGGAGGGAAGTGTCACAGAGCTGGTGGCCTCAGCCCCTACCCGGTCTGTGCCCAGGGGACTTGCCCAGCTGGAGGAGTTCAGGCCTTGGTAAGTCAGTCACAGTCCACGGCATCCTGCCCAGCTCACCCCCTGAGGAGGCTTGACATCTGAACTGGGACAGAGGGTTCAAGGAGAAAGACAGGGCCCCGTCCACGTACCCCCACCTCGAGGAAACAGGCAAAAGGGCCAACCACCCCCAGGTGCACAGATTCCGCGTCCCTCTCCGGCTCCCAGTATAGTCTCAGTAGATGAAGACAAAGTCCCTCAGGTTTACTCTGCAAGCAGGCTCAGCACCTGCTCCAGACTTGCTGTGTGATGCTGGAGCAGTACCCACCTTCCCTGGGCCTTGGATTCACTGTCACCCTGGGCAGCTAGACTCTCTGGGCCTGGGTCCCCAGGGAGGGCCTGACTCCTGGGACAGCCAAGAGGACACAGACCTGGAGAGCTGGGCTGGGAGGCCCAGATGCCATGAGCTCATCTTGCCCTCTGTTCTTTGCCCAGTCCGGGGACCCCACCCACTGGGTTTTGCTGCACATATTTTCCATAAACAGCCAACATTCTCTGGCTCCTGCCTGGCCTCCCCCACCTGGGTGTGTGTCTTGTGGCTGGGAGGCAAGGGGAGAATCAGAATGTGTATGCTGACAGAGTACCTTGGCACAGACCAGAGAAGACAAGTGACGTGCCCAAGGACACACAGCAAGGAGGCACCAGAACTGTCATTATAACTCATCCATCACACTCTTACTGCTGCCTTCATTTAGGCCATAGGAGCCCTCACATTTGCCTTCGCCTCAGGGACCCCTCCCTCACTGGAGCTGTATCCGCCTCCAGGAGGGACCTTGGACTCCCTGCCCAGCAATTCAGAGCTACAGAAAGGTGCCGAGTTGCCGGGCTGTGTTGTTAGATGCCTGGTCCAGTCGACTCTGATGTATGACATGCCTCCCCAGGTCCCGAGGAGAACTGCTCTACTGGGTCTTCGAGGTTGTGACCTTCCCCAAGTGGATTGCCAGGCCTTACTTCTGAGGTGCCTCAGGGGTTGCTCAGCACTTAAGCGCTTCTTCCTCTGACCCGTCCAGAGACTCCTACGGATTCCTTAGGCCTTGTAGAGCCAATTGGAAGGCTCATAGAATATTCCAGAGGTTCTTAATCACAGCTGCTGAGATTCCTGAAATAGCAGAGTGAAAAGGCATCTCCTGATACCCAAAGCCCCACTATGACCTCAAGAGGTCAGGTGTCAGTTTGGGCTTGTGCACCCCTATCCAGGAAAGGGGTGCTGTGTCTTCAGAGGCAGCTCTGAGGCGCTGCCAGGACGCTCTTCACCAGCTGGTCCTTGGACCCTTACCTTCCCCCAGGTTGGATGGCAAGACCTTCCTGCCCCTACTGGCCACCCACCCCCAGGGTTGGGCCTCCAGCCTGGTTCCTCCACCCAACGTCTTATCTTACGCGTGCCTGCCCACCCACTTCCTTCCCTGGTTCGTGGCATTCCATAGCCCAGAGTTCAACCCTCCTTCCCACACAGCAGACACTACCTCGGTCGGGGTGGGGAAACCCTCACGCTCCAGGGTGGGCATCTGGAGGCTGCCATGGGGTGAGGAAGAAGGGGGAGGCGGTGCTGTCCAGCCCACGTGATCACTGCGGGGAGTGGCTGAACTCAAGACCCCAGACCTCTGCCCGAACATCCTCTCCCGCACACATGCCCGGCGTGTTGTAGGTCAGGCTGTCAGAGGGCACGCTGGCGATGGTTATGGCAGGAGCTCTGGGGCCTCCCTGCCTGGGTTCAGACCCACCCCTTCACTGGGAGACCCTAGGCAAGCTACCACACTCTACGTGTCCCATTTACATGTAAAATGTAAATACTTGCAGTTCTGTGAGTTAATTAATATTTGTAAAGTAGTCAGGAACAAGGTCTGGCAGGTAGAAGCTATAATGTGCTTTTTAAATGAAATAAGCATCTATGTGGGTCCTTGGCATTTTTCCATAACTTAATTTGCTGCACTCTCAATGTCCATCCATCATATGTGTAGGAGAGGTTAGCAGGAGACAGGAGTGAGAGTAAAGCCAGGCTGTGAGTTCACTTCCTTACTGTATATGACTTGGAGAATTGGCTTTACCTCTCTTCTGAGTCTTGGTTTCCTCATTTGTAAAATTGGAGTAATGATTCCAACCTCCAGGACTGGTGTGTGAGAAGCCTGCATGCTACGTGTACAGTCAGGAAATGGGCATGAAATGGGAGTCACAAACCTTCACCCCAACCCTCAAAGCCCTTCCTTTCCACAGGGCAAAATCTCCCTCTCCAACAGTCCAGAGTTGTCCTGTTCCACCTCTGCTGGTAACAGGGTGGTGATTCAGAGGCAATCAGTGGGTCAGAGACTGAAAACAGCCTGGAGACCAGTTAGTCACATAGTTGACCAGAACCCTGTCCACGCCCCCTCCGAGTAGCCCAGTTGGCCTCCTCTTTACCTCAGACCTCAGGTCTGTTGGTCTCATTGAGATATGAGTGAGAGGTTGACCCTCTGGTGCGCTAAAGATGCTTAATTCCTCTTAAAAATTTCTTCTGTCTCTAGACTTTTACCTGGTTGTTCCCTCCAACTAGAAAACCCTCCTTGTAGCTTTTTCCTCATCCTAGTGGTCAGATAAATGTTACTTCCTCAGAGAAACCTTCCCTCTCGCGCTCCAGCGCTCCAGTTCAGAAGCTGTCACCTGTGCAGGAGGAGCTAGCCCATCTTTCTCCCTCAGAGCAGCTGGTGAATTTGAACTGCCTGTCTATGAGTTGGCAGTGCAACTCCTTACCACTAGGCCACCAGAGCTCCCAATGAGAAGCCCCTACTGACTCCCCATCTCTGCATCCTATTTGTTTCTGTCACAGGGACCTGTTGCAATGCAGAAGTAAG